CAATTTGCTGACACTTTTCATGTTTTGCAAATTCTGCTTTTATTCATGCAGAGCCAAAATTTATCATATCTGTGGTAGTCTGGTGACAGTGCAGGTACAGTGCCTCACACACCAAGAGCATGCATACTTCTGGAATAGTCAGACAATACACAAACAATTGCCACTTGGCAATTTAGCCATAGCTTGTGCTGTTTTCTTTAGTAGTCTTTGCCCAGCAAAGGCTCTAAGGAGCTATTCAACTATGAACATGTACAATATAAGCATGTCAACATTTCATAAACTCCAGAGAAGCTACATAGTCCCAGCTATTTCAAGGGTGTGGTCAAAACACCAACCTCAGCTATTAGCTGAAAGGAAAGAGAAATCTGTACGTCTGGCAGGGGATGCAAGGTGTTGTTCACCTGGACATACAGGTATGTCCACACTAGTTTGGCTTCAATAACTTATTTGGCTTATAAATTTCATGTGTAACTGGGAATAGTAAGAAGAATTGTCTCAAAACCATTATGAAATAGAAATGTTTCACTGTATTTGATATATTTAACATGAGCATGTCTTGGAAGAAAAGTTGTGTCAATTGTACATAGTATGTATGTGTTTATGTATTACAGCTAAGTATGGAAGCTATACATTGATCGATGTGGACACACATCAAGTTTTGGACATCCAGTTGGTGCAGGTAAGAATACAATCCTGTCATAACATAAAATGACATGCACAGCATAAGAGTGAACATGCTCAGTTGTGTACAGTAATACTTTCTGATATCAAATACTTGAAAATGACTTAATTTACATTGCTCTGTTTCAGTCAAATGAAGTGGCCAATTCGAATGCCATGGAACTTGAAAGATTGAAAAGGGGCCTTGCACATCTTGAGAATGCCAGAGTAAATGTTTCAGACATAATAACAGACCGACACATTCAAGTAAAAGCCTATATAAAGAGGGAGAAAGGTGGCATTAAACATTGGTTTGATGTATGGCATGTTGCTAAAGGTGAATAGTTTTTAAGACCCATCATATCGTGATTAGACTTAATATTTAGTGTCATTGACGCAGTTATGGCATGAAAATGCTTTTCAGAAAGTGGAATATAACTTAAATATTATTCGACAAATATATTAAATCACCTTAACCTTAACAAACACACTCCGAGGTAAGAAAGAAAAGCCGTCTGTACGTGTGTTTCTGAGCGAGGCCTATATATCTTTTACACCACGCCAAGAAAGAAAAGCAGGCTTCACGTGTGTTTCTGAGAGTGGCCAATATATTTCTTACACCACGCTACGAACGAAAAGCAGTCTGCACGTGTGTTTCTGAGCAGGGCCACTATATCTTTTACGCGACGCTACGAAGCTCGTTGTCTACGTCTCCATGAAAGCGAGGCGACTAACAGGATAGGGTGATCAGTCTCGCTGGCTTGGTTGAAACATGTCATCATATCCCAACTGCATAGGTCGATGAATCGTTTAATCCTATTACAGTTACAAAGAGCCTTGAAGCGGATGTACTTCACTTATCCAGTAAATAGATAGTGAGTGTAGGAGTTAAGATTTTAAGTCACACCGGCAATATTTCAGCCATATCGTGACTAAATCAAGTTATAGATTTATACTAATTAAAAGTAAATTATAAACATCTGTCAACGAATGACAGTAAAATAACTACAGTATCACAGATATAAATCTTACAACTAGTAATTAAATCTAAAACATTTAAACTAAAGATGACAATACAATATAGAATCAGGCTATAGACTGCCGACAACTGAAGGTAGGTGGCCATATCAGGTACCATGGGGACATTACAGCAGTAAATATATAAGTATTTTAGGGTGGCCAAATGAGTTCGGGTTAAGGATATGTTTTTGTATTTTATTGTTTTGTATTGTGAGTCTATATATTGTTAGTCCCGTTGTCTTTAAATATATTCATGTAGCCCATAAATACATATTGCTAATCATAAATTAAAGATCACCATAAATAAAAGGGCATGTGTTGCTATTCCCACCAGTCAGAATAACAGATTAACTACATGTATATCATGTGAGAAAGCAGGCTGTTCTTCAACTTCTTTTAAACACCAGTAGTATATCAAACCAACGGAATTTCTTCCTTAACAATGTACATGTTAATTAATAATTGATTTAACTCAACCAGGGTCTCCTCTATGGATTAGCTATGAGAATTATATTTGTACACGAAGGTTTCTACTTAAGTAGCTCGTCTTCTATCTAATACTTTTGACGTGAAGTTGTGTGGAGTCAGTCATGCGTGAAGAATTATTAACAAATAATGAAGGCTCTTATCAACATTGAGTTGTATATAACTTTCCTAATGCTTTGATACAATGTTGAGGTTTGTGTTATCCACTGCCCCGTGAAGGGGCAATATAAATTTACGAGTGCGTTCACTGTTTAATTATACTGCTCTTAATGACGAATGTCTGTATTTCTGTGTACGTTAAATGCGGAGTGAGTGTATTAGGTTCAGCACCGGTTCAGTGATGAGGACCTCACTTATAACACAGTGTTTGAGCCTAGGGTTGGAGGAATGTATTCGACGTGTATAACGTCAGTGAGTGTAATGGAGTTTATCGCATCGCGTTCATGTCTATTGTATGTTTATGATAGCGTACTAGTTTTGAATTAAGAGCTGTGAAAATCTAGTATTTTTACTGCCCTTCGGTGACAGGTTTTTACGTTCTAAATTTCTTGATTTTAATATTGACATACATTTAATTGTTCTCGCCACGATATGGCTGGGATATTGCCGATGTGCCGCTACATATTAACTCACTCACTCTATTGCACTTAAACAACGAACGTAAACCCGTTTCATAGTGCTAGTCCACTGAAGTACCATGCCGCGGTTTCACATGGGTACCCCACTCAAGCACGGTGTACTGACCCAGTCAGCCCTTGTTTCAGCCCCTTTTGTCAGACGTTCCTTCCGTCCACTGAACCGCGAGGTGGTTAACCTTTGTGAGACTAGTGAACATGGTTATAACACTGACGGTGTGATATCTGACTCAAACACAGAATACTGAGCCAGTCAGCCCCTGTTCAATCAGAATTTTTGTACCAGCTCTCCTGACCTAACCCCTGGGTCGATTTCGATAAAACTTTCAGGGATGATAGCCTGTAGGCTGAAATTGATACAATGTTGAAAAAATACCGACTTCCGGCTTCCGGTAAGGGCAGATAACCCAAAACGTCAAAATCTTTGAACCCCAATATCTCCAAAACTAGAAGAGTTAAACTGACCAATTTTCACCCAATGTAGACATCATCCTTTATGGATTCAACGCATAAAATAAGTCGGAAAACACAATGGAAGCAGTGTCAACAAAGCGAATGAAAACAGATTTTTAAATAGAGACAAAAGGCTAAATGTGTCATTTGTAGTAGGACTGTCGACGTGTGAACATCATTATGCATCCCTGTCCCATATGCTCCAAAAACACTTGTCCCGTCATATTCGAAAAAATCATTCAGGAGAAGATATCAAGCAGCAGCAGCAGCAGCCAGTACAACCACATTCATCAGAAAGTACTACTCAGTCTTTGGAAGAATTTAGACTAATACACCCATTCACCCTGATTGTGTCAGGGCCCACCTCCTGTGCGAAGACCTACTTAGTGAAACAGATTCTGGAAAGGATGAACATTAAACCTTAACCTGAACGTATTTTTTGGCTCTGCAAACGATGGCAGTCCTTGTATAACACCATTCAAACCCATGTTTATCCCTATGTGGAATTTCATCAAGGCATTCCTTCTGATCTCGAAAAGGATGCATTTCTGGACCCCCATGTGGGGAATGTGGTTATCCTCGACGTTGTCCAGGTTATCCTTGGGTAAGACGGTCTAATGTCCGCCTAGGCGTACATCAGACCGTATTACCCTCGAGAGAAGCATACAACTTATATTATACAAAAATGCTTGTTGTGTAAATATGCACAGTAGTGTTATGTGCAACTGCTTGCATCTTCCTGACGTGTTACACTAAAACCTTGTCAACATTTCATATAAAGATAATGTGTTACAAATGTGTCATATTTTTTCGACTAATAAATGTATTGTTTGGGTACAAGTCAGTGTATAGTTTGACACTTGCCTATGTCGTCTCTGCTACACATTCGCTGAAATATTATGTGCGTGGTATTGTCTGAAGTATTTATCCAAAATTGTGTAGCGGACAATTTTTCGCAATGTATATGCACATCAGCCTTTCATCAATCCTATACACGCAGTTATACATCACAGGGGAATATACATCGGTGCTGGGTTAGTTTATTGTTTAACCCTGCAATACATACTCTGCAATACGTCGGACCAGACAATTCAGTGATTTATTACAGTGATTCACGCCTGCGGGGTTCGTTGACACGCCATCAATCAAATCACCGAGTCTTACCACCCGATCCATTTCGTCCCCTCTCACAACCTGCATGGGTTGCTGGGGACCTGTTCTAACCCGTAGTGCCCACGGGGGATACAGGGATGTAATGTGTATTACTGAACGTTTAGTGAGATTACCTGATCAAGATGAGTATCGTTGCACATCGAGATGTGGTGCAATCGTGCCATGTGCGACGGAAACATAAGCAATGTAAATCCTCAATTTCTGACTCGTAAAATAAGATCAAATGTAATCACAACCATCACTTGAATTGCACCGGGAAAGATGTGAGCTGAATCAGTTGAGAGGTCGGTTGCTGATGACTATGCTATCATGAAAGTTGTTTTCAATAACTTCTATATTCTATTTATAACCACGTTTCATACCAATTACACACTCACACACGCGCGCACGCACGCACGCTTGCATTCAGGCGATAGGCAGTATGTGTTCCTTGCATTTGCGGTGAAGTGGTCCTTGATAGCAGTGCAGCTGTGGGTAACTTCTCTCATTTCTCGCGTCACGGCTGTCACGTGACTGTCCACCTGTATTTGCCAAGTATGGCCAGTCCATTGTTGAATATCATGTCGGGGTAACATGACTACCTGTATTGTCCACTTTACCCTCTACTTAGACGCTGAGCTGGACAGAGAGGTCATCGTATTGAGTCTGAAAATATCTCAAAGGTCTACATCACAGTTAATACAGATGGGTTGTTTTTCATCTATAGCACTTATAGCAAATATTGAATTATGATGAAGAAGAAATTCACATTCAAAAACAGAAACTGAAAAAACGGGTATAAACACGAACGAATTTAAAATATGTTGAAAGGGACTTGGGTAGCAGTATAAGTGATATTTGGGCTGGTATTTTATCTCAACATCTAACAATGCAGAACACATATGACACAATCGCGTTGTTCAAACATCACAGCGTAAACAGTGAAACAATACCTTGCTTGAGTGGCATTTTAGAAGTTGACAGGTACAATATAGAACACACTTTATGGATAACAACTTCACGAAATGAAGAAGCTGTTATCCATAAAGTGTGTTCTTTATTATAATGAAACAATACCTTACCAGTATATACACGGTCAACACTGCCAATCATGCTGAATAAATCGCTTATCTAATCAATTTACCAATCTAATCAAATGTACCCGTCCACAGAATAAATCAGTTTATTTTGACGCCTTGAAAACAGTGAAACAGTTTGAAGTAAGAATGGATGGACAGCACTTCAGGCATGACACTCAGTACGATCGTTATGAAACCGGCTCCTGGAGATATGTTAACCATGTTTTGGGCTAATCACATTGCCCCAAGCGGCCCCTAAACGGAATATTAGTCAGTGGACAGGTGAAGTGGACGATGCAGGACAATTGTGATTCAGTTGTCGTCCGACTCTCCTGGTGTCGACAGGGCAATGGCTAGCTGTGAACAGCGCCAGTAACAGCGGTGTCTTCATGAGCGAGATCTACCGACACAAGAGGAACAACTAGATCACTGACTTTGGAGAGTTACATCACTGGATTGATGAGGTAATCTGTCATTCGGTGATTGGACACTTACCGCATTAGTCGTTTTTACATCTGGAGACGTCGAGTCGTAACGGAACGTTACATATCCGTGTTATGCATCTAGCAAGGACGTGAAAGCTATTTAAAGGATTACATGAACTAGCAGGCACCCAAGAAGGAGAGATGCGTCAAGAAACAGAAGGAGCACCTGGACACCTACGACCCCGCCGTTGCGAGGGACGTCACCGACCTTCTCATCCGGGCGCTTCAGGAGACACCAGATGAAGAGAAGGAAGCGGTGGGTTAGACAGATGAACACATCTTGACAACAGTTCAAGAACTCGTTCACGTTGCTCTGACCGGAACGCTAGATCTGGAGGACATGAACAATCTTCCATTCATGGAGGCCTGCCTTGTGGAGATGATGTGTCACTCGTGTATCTTCCCTTTCGCCTTGCCGCACAGCAAAACAAAGGACACGTCACTGAAGAATTACCACATCCCCAATAAAACGCTGATCTTTGTTAACATGTGGTCAGTCAGCCATGACAAGGACCTGTTTCCTGATCCAGACAGGTTTGACCCCTACCGTTTCCTTGATGACACTGGACGCCGAATTGATAAGGCAAAAACTGAATTCTTCCTCCCGTTTGGAGTCGACCGTCGACGATGTCCCGGGGAACAGTTGGCAAAGATCGAACTGTTTCTGTTCTTTGCTACCATGATGCTGTAATGTAAGTTCGAGAGCCCGTTAGGTGGCGCTCCTGTGATCGACAGCAAGTATGGCCTTACTCTCAAGCCCGTGGACTTCAAGGTAGTTGTTACCAAAAGACAACCAAATGACATCAAGTGAATGGTGACCAAGATGCAGCCAAAGGACATCAAGTGAGTGGTGACCAAGAGGTAACCAAAAGGACATCAAGTTAACAGGTAATCCTATGTGAAGCAAACTTCTACAATTGCCTGCTATTTGTGTAAGATATACTGCCAATATAGATACTGATGTCGAGCATACATGTCGATACACAGAAGTCGGATATGCCACATATATGCCGAAGTCGTATATACAACCTTTATGCCGAAGTCGTATATACAACCTATATGCCGAAGTCGGATATACCACCTATATGCCGAAGTCGGAGATGTATGCGCTTTCTTATCAGTTCGGATTTAACTAGTTTTATGCATTGTGAAGTTAGATTTTGTTGTCCATTTGGCTACAGCAGAATCAGAGGTTAATAATAAACGTACCCTCATTAAACATCATGTTGTTGTTATGTTATTCTTTTTATTTACCTTAAATCAACGAGGAACAGCCGTGCCTAGAGTGTGTGAATAGGTTTTACGCCGCTTCAAGCAATATTCCAGCAATATTCCAGCACGCGCGCGCCTGGAGGCCTGCGTCTGAGTCATTCGTGACAAACTCGTATTATCCCGGGACAAGCCGAAAAGCGACTCGTGCCCCAATGGAAGGATTTCATATCGGCGTATGAACATCAGAACTACTTTAAACAAGAACGACAACTCAATTCCAACAGTGATAAACATTACAGAAACACTCGAAAATTGATGCTTTTAAAAAAATTAAAAACTTTGACCTGTTAAATCAGTTGTTTGAGCTTGCATGCAATCTTGCTGCCATACGCCAGGTGGAATTTATGATGAATACGCTGACAAAATATGAAGAACCAAACAAGCTAAAATATGCCCAAATATGTGAAATGTAAGCACAGTGATTGGGTTATTTATATAAAAATATATTGTTTTGCAACTCATGACTATTTATAATTACATTAACTAAAATAAGTCGGAAGCGCACGTAGAATCTCCAAAATATGCCCGCAAATCGCCCGAGAAAACATTCAATTCTACAGAGGAGAGCCGTTATGCTAACAAAAGCACGTGCGTGTATTTGAATCTCCCAACGTCCACGGCATTATCCTTATTAAAAACATCACATGAGGCAACACAATTCCGTTAGCTACGCTCTTTGTACTTTCAATATGACGATATATTTTTTTCATGATCTTCTAAACATGACATTGTGCCATAAACAATTTAAGTATTCGGGATTATTATTATCAAAGCACCGCAGTCATTACACGCGTCTGATTGGTTTGTCGTATATTTGCACATAACAAGCATCGAGATGGTAACCTTGGAGGTTACGGAAAGGGGCGAGTGGTGACGAATGGGTCCGAGGCCGAATCAAGGTCCTCATATGGGTAAGACTTGAAATGTCCCTGGTTACCAAGCCGCAAAGTAGTGGAATATTAACAAAGAGGCACATACCATGGTGTATTCCCATACTGCCTACAGTTCCAAACTCACTACAGGTTAAAACAACATGATACGGTCCAGTGATCAGGAAGTGAATACACCGATCTGACCTTTTCTAACCCTGCTAAAATCAACTGGACTAGTTAGCTGGTATTTCGACCCGCCAAGGGGTGGCCTAGGGTTAGAGCTAGGGTTACGGGGGTGAGCTAGAGTTAGGTTTATTTTGACCCTTCTGGTCGATTTGGGTGCGGTTTTGCGTTTAGACGTGTTGGGGGGTTGTGTGCGGAGGCGGTAAGCCCCAAAAAACGCATGTTTGGCACTTATTTGGGCCCGTTTTAGCCTAACCCTAACCCTAGCCTATACCAGTTGAGGTAACGTTGAGTGTTAGGGTTATAGCTAGCGTAAGGTCATTTCGGACCCCTTTGGTCGATTTGGGTGCGGTTTTTGCCTTTGGGCATGTGCGGGGATCCTGGGCAGAAGTGGGAAGCGCAAAAAGCCGCGTGATTGGTACTTAATTTGGCCCGTTTGGGGCCTATTTTGAGTCCAGCGGCGGACACCTAGGGTTAGCGTTTTTTGCCCAGGTCCACGACGCTTAGTATGACGACGGGGGAAAGAGTCTCGGGAGGGGTGCGGTTTGACTTTGGGCATGTGCGGGTATGCTGGGCGGATGTGGGAAGCGCAAAAACCGCATGTTTGGCACTTATTTGGGCCCGTTTTGGGGTATTTCGACCCGCCCAGGGACGGCCTAGGGTTAAAGCTAGGGTTACCAGGTAGAGCTAGGGTGAGGTTTATTTCGACCCTTTTGGTCGATTTGGGTGCGGTTTTCGTTTGGACGTGTTGCGAGGTTGTGTGCGGAGATGGTAAGCGCAAAAAACCGCATGTTTGGCACTTATTTGGGCCCGTTTTAGCCTAACCCTAACCTTAGCCTATACCAGTTGAGGTAACGTTGAGTGTTAGGGTTATAGCTAGCGTAAGGTCATTTCGGACCCTTTTGGTCGATTTGGGTGCGGTTTTGGCCTTTGGGCATGTGCGGGGATGATGGGCAGATGTGGGAAGCGCAAAAAACCGCGTGTTTGGTACTTAATTTGGCCCGTCTTGGGCCTATTTTGAGTCCAGCGGCGGACACCTAGGGTTAGCGTTTTTTGCCCAGGTCCACGACGCTTAGTATGACGACGGGGGAAAGAGTCTCGGGAGGGGTGCGGTTTGACTTTGGGCATGGGCGGGTATGCTGGGCGGATGTGGGAAGCGCAAAAACCGCATGTTTGGCACTTATTTGGGCCCGTTTTGGGGTATTTCGACCCGCCCAGGGACGGCCTAGGGTTAAAGCTAGGGTTACCAGGTAGAGCTAGGGTGAGGTTTATTTCGACCCTTTTGGTCGATTTGGGTGCGGTTTTCGTTTGGACGTGTTGCGAGGTTGTGTGCGGAGGTGGTAAGCCCCAAAAAACCGCATGTTTGGCACTTATTTGGGCCCGTTTTAGCCTAACCCTAACCTTAGCCTATACCAGTTGAGGTAACGTTGAGTGTTAGGGTTATAGCTAGCGTAAGGTCATTTCGGACCCTTTTGGTCGATTTGGATGCGGTTGTGGCCTTTGGGCATGTGCGGGGATGATGGGCAGATGTGGGAAGCGCAAAAAACCGCGTGTTTGGTACTTATTTGGGCCCGTCTTGGGCCTATTTTGAGTCCAGCGGTGGACACCTAGGGTTAGCGTTTTTTGCCCAGGTCCACGACGCTTAGTATGACGACGGGGGAAAGAGTCTCGGGAGGGGTGCGGTTTGACTTTGGGCATGTGCGGGTATGCTGGGCGGATGTGGGAAGCGCAAAAACCGCATGTTTGGCACTTATTTGGGCCCGTTTTGGGGTATTTCGACCCGCCCAGGGACGGCCTAGGGTTAAAGCTAGGGTTACCGGGTAGAGCTAGGGTGAGGTTTATTTCGACCCTTTTGGTCGATTTGGGTGCGGTTTTCGTTTGGACGTGTTGCGAGGTTGTGTGCGGAGGTGGTAAGCGCAAAAAACCGCATGTTTGGCACTTATTTGGGCCCGTTTTAGCCTAACCCTAACCTTAGCCTATACCAGTTGAGGTAACGTTGAGTGTTAGGGTTATAGCTAGCGTAAGGTCATTTCGGACCCTTTTGGTCGATTTGGGTGCGGTTTTGGCCTTTGGGCATGTGCGGGGATGATGGGCAGATGTGGGAAGCGCAAAAAACCGCGTGTTTGGTACTTATTTGGGCCCGTCTTGGGCCTATTTTGAGTCCAGCGGCGGACACCTAGGGTTAGCGTTTTTTGCCCAGGTCCACGACGCTTAGTATGACGACGGGGGAAAGAGTTGCGGGAGGGGTGCGGTTTGACTTTGGGCATGGGCGGGTATGCTGGGCGGATGTGGGAAGCGCAAAAACCGCATGTTTGGCACTTATTTGGGCCCGTTTTGGGGTATTTCGACCCGCCCAGGGACGGCCTAGGGTTAAAGCTAGGGTTACCAGGTAGAGCTAGGGTGAGGTTTATTTCGACCCTTTTGGTCGATTTGGGTGCGGTTTTCGTTTGGACGTGTTGCGAGGTTGTGTGCGGAGGTGGTAAGCCCCAAAAAACCGCATGTTTGGCACTTATTTGGGCCCGTTTTAGCCTAACCCTAACCTTAGCCTATACCAGTTGAGGTAACGTTGAGTGTTAGGGTTATAGCTAGCGTAAGGTCATTTCGGACCCTTTTGGTCGATTTGGATGCGGTTGTGGCCTTTGGGCATGTGCGGGGATGATGGGCAGATGTGGGAAGCGCAAAAAACCGCGTGTTTGGTACTTATTTGGGCCCGTCTTGGGCCTATTTTGAGTCCAGCGGTGGACACCTAGGGTTAGCGTTTTTTGCCCAGGTCCACGACGCTTAGTATGACGACGGGGGAAAGAGTCTCGGGAGGGGTGCGGTTTGACCTTGGGCATGTGCGGGTATGCTGGGCGGGTGTGGGAAGCGCAGAAAAACGTATCTTTGGAACTTATTTGGGCCCGTTTTAGCCTGACCCTAACCCTAGCCTATACAAGCTGAGGTAACGTTGAGTGTTAGGGTTATAGCTAGCGTAAGGTCATTTCGGACCCCTTTGGTCGATTTGGGTGCGGTTTTTGCCTTTGGGCATGTGCGGGGGTGCTGGGCAGAAGTGGGAAGAGCAAAAAGCCGCGTGATTGGTACTTAATTTGGCCCGTTTGGGGCCTATTTTGAGTCCAGCGGCGGGCATGTAGTGTTAGTGTTTTTTGCCCAGGTCCACGACGCTTAGTATGACGACGGGGGAAAGAGTCTCGGGAGGGGTGCGGTTTGACTTTGGGCATGTGCGGGTATGCTGGGCGGATGTGGGAAGCGCAAAAAAACGCATGTTTGGCACTTATTTGGGCCCGTTTTGGGTTATTTCGACCCGCCCAGGGACGGCCTAGGGTTAAAGCTAGGGTTACCGGGGTGAGCTAGGGTTAGGTTTATT